TATAGTACTTTTAAAGTCAATCAAGAGGTTTTTGCTTTTCTCCTCTTTTTGAATTTCACTTTTGTGTAAGTAATATTGCGATAAATTATTGTGAATGGAAATAATACCGTCTAATTTACGATCAAACAGGACAAGGGAGATAGGGAGCACACAAAACATTAGTTAGCATTTTGATTTCACAAACATAAAGGTGATTTACTTATTTTATCATTTATCAGTGATAAAAATAATGATTTATTATCTACTGATTAGCTTGTAACGTATTCAAAATTCGAACTATGAAAAACAAATAAGATAAACTTAAAACAGTCATTAATTTAGTCTTTTTGCATGTACAGTACTTTTAAAGTCAATCAAGAGGTTTTTGCTTTTCTCCTCTTTTTGAATTTCACTTTTGAACAAGTAATATTGCGATAAATTATTGTGAATGGAAATAATACCGTCTAATTTACGATCAAACAGGACTAGGGAGAGGGAGCACACAAAACATTAGTTAGCATTTTGATCACAAACATAAAGGTGATTTACTTATTTTATCATTATCAGTGGCGGCTCCAGGAAAGCAAATTAGAGGGGGGACAGGGAGGGACTTGCACGTTGGAAAACACTCAGCCCCACCATGGTTGGGGCTGAGGAAAGAAAATTTATGATTATGACACTCTAGATTGCCGGAAATGGCACTCTCAGACCTAAATTCTTTTTCATTTAAAAAAAATAATTTTGAATAAATTAGGCCGGCTCGGCCCCACTTGAATCTGCCACTGATTATTATGGCGTCATTGCGAGACTGCGTCAACGTAACACTGGAGTTTGTAAACTTTTGGTAGGCTTATCACTTAATCGAAAAAGGTAGACATCATATCCGTGAAATTAGAAAAAAACAGTAATCCTATGTATGTAGATAATATTAAACACTAGTATATACGTACGGGTCATAATAATATACAAAAAGAATAAATCGTTTTTATTAAAAATTGTGCAAAAAGCAAGAACGTAATGTAAAAAGCACCGAACGTAATGTAAAAGCACCGAACGTAATGTTAAAAGGGCCGAATAGCAAATGCGCCGAACGGAAAAGAGCCACCAAAGGCAGTAACGGCCAAAGATCGTATAGCGCCGATACGATCTTTGGTAACGGCGTTCAATACTGTCGGGCCATTGGATTCTATGGCGGATTCAGCTAATTTGTTCGATACATCATACATTTCAAAAGTAAGTAGATATACGTTGTATGCAAGAAGCTAAGACGTCTTATACCGTTGTTTATTTAAAAACGTACATTTAGGCTAATAATTTTATATTATTTACATTTACTATGTTGTACCATTAGCCAGCGAGCCGTCCGGCCGTCTTTTGGACGACCTACAATTATTTAGAACGGCCACTTTTACCGTAACGGCTTGCATGGCTTGTCCTAATCAGCTCGGCCTAGCCTTGGGCCTGGTCTAGGCCTACCTTATAACAACTCCCTGCTTTAGCAAATTCTTTATATTCTTCAAATCTATCAAATGTTACATTAAACTAAAAGCTAAATCTTTCTTTATTGATTTTGTTGTTACTGGCTGAAGGGAATAAAATAAAAATAAAATAAATAAATAAATAAACATTTGATTGATGAATGTACATTGCATTCGTACCAATTCGGTGGGATTCCCAAAGATGGGCGTGGCCCGCCCATCGGCTCAGTGCCACGCCCACTGGCTTCCATTTTGGACGGCCTATTTCGTTTTTCTGGCTAATTATACAAAGAATATAGGCACAAGTTATTGCTCATGGTGTGTAAAAACACCTTAAGGCGTAAGGATCTAGACTACGGGCCATAGCAGGCCCACTGGGAGTAAAATCTGAAGATTCCAGGTAGACCGAGATCACCATTAGATTAATTACAGTAGGCCTAATTCTTCAACGATGGCATCAGCATTTTCCCTATTACAGGTGGTCCATCATTTTCAGACAGACAGCCACATATACCTCAGCCTTCGAGACCTAAAATGTGTCCCCTTAACTGTCAGGGTATCCCCTGAATAGGAGGAGGCTACACATTAAGGGGATACTAACAAAGCGTGAAATTCCCTCCTAATACTGGTCCTGACACATAGTCATACAGTACAACGAGGACATAAATTCTTTAAAAATTCATTTCAGTTGACCTAAAAACCCAACTTGCAATGCAATGCAAATGATAAAATTAAAATAAAAGTAATAAAAACAACTAAAAATTGTATATTGTTCCACATTCTTATGCTAAATAGCAGAATGAATAGAGTAATGACTTCAGGATGAGGGTTACAGTATGGATTTGAATCCTATATGAAAGTACTCAGGAAAAATAAATTCCATGCTTAAGAGTCAAATCTTTTTGAAAATACGCAGATAAAAAGTACGCACAGTGAACCTAAACAAATAACGATTTTAAGGATCAAGAACAAAATGTTGAACTATTTTTTAATCTATTGTAGTTGTAGTGATACAATTAAAAAATAGTGATACGATAAAAGGTTTCCTTTCAAATAGGGTTTGACCATTGAGCACATTAAGAAAGTGTCTTTGTCCCCTGGGGTGTCTCTTAATAGGGGTTGGTCGTAGTGTTAAGATATATTTCTCTTCGTTGCGGCTGCCTGTCGGACACGTTTGCGCCCTGACGTCAGACACTATGACGAGGTCATTGGCTTCAAAATATTAATTTGCTAATTACAACAAAGTTATTGTGTTTGTCAATAACATGGTGTAAAAGCACAATTTTAGGCCATCCTAAACCATAAAATCTTATATTCCAGGACCCAGACCGAGCCACAGTTTCAGATCCCAGTTTTATAGTAATAATAGTAATAGTGTAGTTTTATATAGCGCACATGTCCATCTAATGTAAGATGCTCAGGGCGCTTGAAATGTGGACTAGGAACTCGATCGACCAATGACTTTCTTCGCCCCTAAGGGTCCCTTCGTGTCTGTGCTACCCGGTAACCCGGTACCAGCAACTCTCGTCGTCCACCACAGGGGCTGTCTGTTCCAGTACACCGGGGTAACCCCCTACTCGTTTCGAAGGATGTACTGGGTTCTTTATAGTGCACATGAGCCATTGTATACACTGGGCCTACGGTTTATAGTCTTTATCCGAGAAGACTTGTTCTACCACCAGAACCATAGGCGAGCGTGCCATTCGAACCAGCGCCGATATTATGGCTATAGTAGCTTGCGGCGTCCCTGCTAACCGCTCGGCCATTCGACTCACCCAAAAGTGTTGAACCTTTTGACGCCTGTTGGAAAATTTCTGTAGCCACCACTGGCATGAAGCGACCAGTATATAATTGATTATTTTTCTTTCAATAGATGGCATCGGAGTTCAAGTTGTTTGAGGATGCAAATAAAGATTTTTTGACTTGCTCCATCTGTAAGGACATTTTCAAACATCCGAAACAGCTGAAATGCATGCATAACTTCTGCCAAGATTGCCTGCATCCTCTGCTGAAAGTGGGAACTCCATGCAAGATAAAATGCCCACTCTGCCGCAAAGAAATTGAACTGGCAGTAGAAACGGTTACTAAGCTAGAACATAATTATTTTCTCAGTAACTTATGTGAGTTATTTCTCGTTGCTAACTTAAACACCGTAGTCGTCCTTTGCTCCTTTTGCTCAGAGACGTTAAACAAAGAAAATGCGTCACGTTGCATTGATTGTTCTGACAACCTCTGCGAGAAATGTGCAAAGGCACACACCAGGACCCGCTTCACAAGAAATCATCAAGTCATATTAATTTCAGAGTTTGAGACGGGAATCTTGTTGGAAAAATCAAGAGAAGGAAACGCAAAGATACTATGCCAAAAACACCCAAACAACTATTTAGAGTACTTCTGCCAAACCTGTCAAGTACCAGTCTGTCTTGGATGCACTGTTGTAGATCACAATCAACGTGGTCATCACCTCTTAAATCTAAAAGACAATCCCACAACAAAGAAATTCAAAGAGCAGATAACCCAGCAAATCCACAAGTTGGAGGAAATGATGCCATCTTTTGAAAAGAATATTGCTATCGCAAATGAAAGGGAGATGTGTCTTACCGAAAGTCTTGAGGAAACCAAAAACGGTATCCGAGATACCGCAAAGTGTCTTATTGATGAAATCGAGGCTCACACGAAGTCGTTAATTGAGAAGGTCGATAAAAGAGCTGAAGCGATTCAGAAACGTATCGAACATCACAGAGAAGCTGCAGAAATCCGACTCAAGAGTTCTGCTGGGATCAATCAGTTTGCTAAAAATCTCAGTAGGCATGGTCTAAATGTCGAAATAATGTCATCAGCTAAAGATCTGCTGAGAAGAATGAAAGAATTACAGGAAGACATGGAAGATCTACATGAGACTGGTGAACTACGATTCATTGATCAACATGAATTCAAGTTTGGAAAAGTGGAAAAATCTAAGATCACAGTTAGTATCTGATTTATTTGCTTAACATTAACAATATTGTTTAAAGTGTACTGTATTTATATTTGAATATACTAACTGTACTACTGATGCTAATACTGTACAGTGGCATAGCTAGGTTGTGATGGGCCCTGGTTCGAGAGTATCGGGACCCCCTTGATGCATGCAAATTGACTGACCATGTCAACTAAGTTGTAAATAGTTTTATTACAGTGTATATATTTACAATTTTTAAAGAAAAACGTCTTACTGTAGTGGCAAGGCAATAAAACAGAAAAATACAATTATTTAATCACATAGCTTTTCTATAGTTGATTGAATATAATATGCACAAATTTGTTTTATCCAAAACTTACACTCGGTGTTGCTTTGTAATTTTATTATGGAAGGATTAATTTCAAAATGAATATTCAATATTGATATATCCAGTGGAAACACTATGATTTTTTTTCTTGTTGTTTACTGTCAATATTTTGTAAAGCCACAAGGCATGAGACTTTTGTAAGGGATGTTTACTCAGGCTAAATTTGTGCACACTTACAATTCACTCGACTCGTTGTTTCTTTAAAGGTAACAATCATTTTTGATATATTTTATTATCATTTACAGGAAAGTAAGGAATATAATTATTTGGAATATTGCCTTGAAAATGGTGCAATAAGCGGACAGTACGTTAAAAGAGGTCCAAATTGGCCAGAAGGCTATGATGTGTACGACCATGCTGGACTGTATACAGATAATACGGCGGGGTTAATTCAACGAAATGAGCAGAACGATGTTGTTGTTCATTTTCAGTCTGACCTAACACTTGAGTGCAAAATGAATCCCGGGGAATACTGGTTACAGCCAGCTCACCTGCACGCAGGTGATTTGCCGTTGGTATGAGTGTGTTTTGTTATAATACCTAATACTGTACTGGGATTATTTTTCTGAACTGTGTTATTTTAGCAAATGTACAGTAAGGCAGCTGCAAAGTAGGTTGATTAGTAGGCCTAATATTATGAATGTCTATTTGCCGATTTACTGTGGAAAAACGCTTACAATCAACTATATAGGCTTAAGAAAACTATTGTGTAGGCCTATAGTATTATTCGTTCAATTCACCCTGAAAAAATAATCTTGATTTTAATATATGTCATGGTAAATGATAAGCATTTTGCTATAATAAATTAGGCCTATACCTACTAATGTTGCTCCATACTGGACGCACTCCATTAATAATGATGATGATGATGATGATAATAATTTTGGCTTATATAGCACATTATGCTAATGCTAAAGCCTCAATGCGCTTAACAATAAAAAATGAAAATGCCGGAAGAAAAACTTTAAGCAGGTTAAAAAGATTTTTGAAGCTGCCTTAAAATAAACAATGGAGAGTGCCTGTCGAAGTATAATGGTTAAATTGAAAGCATTCCAAAGCATTGAAACAATTTTTATTTCATTCGTTATTTGTAGTTCTCTAACCTATTACAAAAAAACAAATAGGTGTTCAAACTTATATCGGTTATGGTAAAATAATTTCATTAGAGTATATACAGTATGTTACGGTATGAATAAATAGATGGATGGATAGGTCAGTGATTGGGTTACTGGTGAATAAATGGATGGATTAAAGCATGAGAAAATGATTGCTTTTATTAAATTCTCAAATCTAAGAATCCTGATTATAGTACAGCTTTATATTGTATTGTTTATTTTCTTTTTAGAAATGGCTGGAACGTTATGTTAAATACTATATGAAGGTTGGAGATGAAGTGAAAAGGGGCTTGGACTGGCCAGCTGGAAATAGCTCATATGACTCAGTCGATGGTATAGGGCAGAAGACGGGAAAGATCACGAAAATAAATCGAACTCAGGGTAGAAATGAAGTTACCGTGAGCTTTGGTCCACCTGTAACCAATACAGTACAATGTCCAATGCATACGGATGTTGACAGAATGAATCGTAACTACGAATATTATCTTTTGCCACTTCGATCTATTCCATGTATTACTGCTTCTGATTGGGTTGATTCAGTGGTGGCGCCGAAAATTGTACAGAAGGTCCCATTGCTCCAAGGTGTGGAAAGCAGAGGTTTCTGCAGTGGAAGGAGCCGAGATTTCCGAGGTAGGGAAAGCCAAGATTTCCGAGGTAGGGGAATCCGACGTGTCCAAAGTTTGGGAAACCGAATCATTTCACAAGCTAGACGAGGCCAGATTCACAATGATTTTCGCCGAGGCAGCACCCTTTACAAAGGGGGGGAGGATTGGTAAAGCTCCCGAAACTCCAATTGTGTTTTTCTCTGACGAATGGGGGAAGCTCTCTCACTGAAGAGACCCCACTGGCGCAACCACTAGGTTGAATTTTAAAAATTTAATAAGTAAATTAACGTTGCTTCTAATTATCTTTTATTCCTTTCTGTAGGGAGGCAGATTTAGCCCCTCCCACCTAACATTTTACCAACATGAATGCATTTTTCTATGACTAAAATAATAGCCGAGTAAGCTGGCCTAAATTGAAATTTTTATTTAAGCCTATAAAAAATATTAGTTTATCAACCACACCAGCATCGTGAGAGGACCATACTCCCCTGGGTTTGTTGATTCAATCCATCTGGAATTTTCAGTAGCCTCCCCCACCCCCTCCATAGAACGTTTTTTTCGTTAAATTTTTATTGGCATTTTTTTTTTTGTTGTTCCTGTGTACAGTAATGTTATTTTAACCCAGTAGCCTCCAATTCAATCTCTATTGCCAAAGGTTACTGTTGTCGAATGTTCTTTATTAATGAATGAATAATTTTATAATGAATAATGTTGTATATAGAATTGTAATTTTTAAATGATTTTGTAATGAGTAATTTTTATAATGAATAATTTTATATATAGATTTGTAATTTGAATGTAATTCTTTTTAAGTAATTTTGTAATGAATTTATTTTGTTGTATGTCTGATTGAATAAATATATACCTGAAATAATAAAAATAACAGTTGATTAACACTTAATTGATAAAATTTTAAATACAGTATTTATTAAATTTTAATTAAGCAAACAAACAAAATATATTTTGATATACAAGTCTAATACTTGTATAGTTTAAAAATTACCAAGATAAAATGTCCCCTACATTTAGAATCGAAACGGTACTGGGTTTGGTACATGTCGTTAAACTAACTAAATTTAACTATGAAAAATCAAATGTTTTAATAACTGGAAAAAGAATAGATAAAGACAGATTGTGGAAATTAGATAACAATTACATTTCTGAAGCTGAAAGTTACAAATACTTAGAGACCTACATCACAAGATCACTCTCAGACCACTATCATATTGAAGAAAAAGGCAAAAAAATAATTGCATACATCAAATCAATTATTGTTGAACAAGATGATTATAATAGAGTATACTATGGAGATTTGTTATGGAAGACGCTCGCCCTCCCCTCAATTAACTATGCATGTTCTACATATGTTTGTGGTGGTAGTAGTGACATCCAAAGCCTTGAAAAATTACAAACGAAAATGGCTAAGGCAATTCTTAAAGCCCCCGTAATGCATGTAAGGAAACTTTATATGGAGATCTGGGTTGGAAATCCATTTCAGCTATTCAGGACTCCCAACATATTGATTTCCTAAATAGACTATTAAAGATGGATATGAAACGCTGGCCCAGATTGGCTTTTAGTGCTTTGTTATACACTGGCTATACATCTACATTTAAGTGGAAGTGGTATAATCATATGCAAAACTTAATAAAATTATATGGAATGAGCCACATATTTAATCTAAATTTTAATGACAAAAATTGGGTAAATGTAACCAAAAATTTAATTGAAAAAATTGATGGTATTCAATTATTTGACCAAGCTAGAAAGAAATCATCACTATCAATTTATGTCACTCTTATATCCACACCATATCTAGAGACATACTTGTTAGATAAATGTGATTTCTTAGGGGCAAGCCTTAAATTTAAAGCTAGATCTAATACACTTGCGCTTAGCCTTGAGAAATCTATATGGGAAGAGGAAAATGATGGCACATGCCCTCTATGCAATGATGGTAAAGAAGACATTATACACTTTATGTTTAAATGCAAATTCCTTGATAATATACGAGCAATTGAATTTTGTAAACTTGAATACAATTTATCTAGTAGTAACCATCATATATATTGGCTGTATTTCTTATCAGGCAGTCCAACACTAAAGCTGAAACTTGCCCTAGGTAGTGATAACAACCTTCATACACATGCACTGATTTCAAAAGAAGTTTGCTAAGACAGAATTTTCGATCTTTACTGTAAAAGCTACATTAAAAAAGCATGGGCCTTACGTAATGCTGTGTTAAATGAACCTATTTAATTGTTCGGTTGTTGTACTACCGTGTGTAAAGTAACTTTTTTTTATGTGATTCTGTTTTGGTTTTCACTTTCTTTCTTTTAACTTGCTTATTTTTATATTTTTGTTGAAATACTGTTTTTAGGTTTAGAAATAACGCCCCTTACACTGAAACAACTGGTTTGCCTTTTTCATGATTACTTCCCTAATGCTTTAAATAAGAATTGCTTTGCATAGAATTGTTGCATAAACTAAACATTTTACTGACACCTGAATGGTGGTCCTCTTTATGTTAAGCTGCCTGTTTAAATCATGGGCGGCGGAAGCGGGGGGGGGGGCCCACTTTTTGGCGAAAAATATATAATGTCTGGAGAATTTTGTATGATCGGAAATGCAAAAAAAGAAGGAGGGAAGAAGGAGAAGGGTGGGAAAGAGAATGTTTATCCAGTACCCGACCGAGGTACATTTTCTCGCAATTCACATTGGCGGATCTGGGGAGAGGGGATCATGGGTCCTGACCTCTTCCTTGTGCAACAAAAAAAGGGGAAAAAGAAAAGAATTCTAGACCTACCTTTTCATGACCCGTGAGCTGATTTTTTAATTTTTTGTTTGTTTGTTTGTTTGTTTTTTTTTTTTTTTGCTATTAGAAAATTAGAATTTCGAAGAACATAAAATTCTTTAAAACACACTTCAAATGTCGGGAAAGCTCATTTCCCGCCACCTAGGAATCAAAATTTTCCCGGGGAAGAACCACAGGACCTCCCCACCCCCACCTTTCTTTTTGGGATTTATCGATTCATGGAAAAACTACGTATGCAACTTACTCAATATTTTTTATGTATGTATACACACATAAGGCCTATTTACTGTAATAACAATGGGAACAAAAATTACCTGACCGTTTTCCAGAGTGGAAAACCTTGAATTTTGAAGAACTTAATTACTTTTAAGTTCTTCAAGAAGGGCCTCAATGTGTTATGATGGTGAAAGAATAGGCCTATGATTGTAATAAAAAAACCACGATGAAAATGCTTATATTTAGTTTCAAACACACTTGTGTGGCCTATATTAATAATAAAATAAGCCCTATGTCGTATTGTTTTCTATAGGGGGTGGGTGGGGGGAGGTATCACACCAAGTCATAAATTACTAACCGGGAAAATTATTACATTTGCCGCCCCCCCCCCCCACCGACCCAAGACCCCTGTTACGCGCCTGCTTATAAGTGGGGCCCCCCCACTTTGAAAAACGTTCCGCCGGCCCTGTAAATGTGTTAGGGTATAATCATGTATTTCGATTGTTTTGTTAATTGATTAATTCCTTATTTATAATTTACTTGTTTTATTTAATTTACCTGTTCATATGTTGCTTCATACACAGAGAGAGCTGTCTTGCCATATTCCTCGCGACTTCCCAGGTAGCTTGTCATATTCCTCGCGACTTCCCAGATAGCCCTTTCATCCATCTTCTCATGGTATCTACAGTATTTCAAATACTGTACCCACAACCTCGGATTTAAATAAGATTTGCTGAATACAGTATACTACAGTATACTATAATATATTCATTTATTTACAAATAAATAAATAAGTGAATATATACTGTAAATATTAATGAATCCTGCACTATAGTCACCTGGTCGGTGACCCCCCTCTCTCTCTTTGTCTGAAGTAATACTTTTCAATTGTAAACTTAAATTTGTTAGTGTAAGCCTTTTCTATATGAACTTTTGTTAATTGTTTAATTCTCTGTTTTTTACTTTTGTTTGTTCTTTTTAATATGAACATTGTGGATGCAACACCTTTGTGTGTGATACCGATATAAAGGTGTAATTTCCAAATAAATACTTACTTACTTATACACATAGCTATATAAATTGATTATAAGATTTAAAATTGTAAATCTTATTATTGCAATGACTACTATGTTCACATTTAAATTAATCTTATTTCTTAGTTGATATTATATATAATTAGGTTATATTATATTGTTTAAGTAAGAATTACTTCGTCTAGCCTATGTTGAAATTAATCTTATTTTATTAGTTTTATACATTTAAATTTGATATGTTGCATAAATATGAAATCTTTTATAATGCAAAAATTGTTAAAGTGAATAATAACTTACTATAAACATTGTACAGAATCATGTTTAAAAAACACTTTGTTAATGTTGCAATAAGATATAGAAATAAGAAAGAAAGCAAAGTGATACGAAACTACTTAAAATTGTACCAAAAGTTATATAATAATGATTATAACTTAACTCATTATTATATTTTAAGTGTTTGTAGCAAATTTTAGGCATAGCGTAATCTTCAGAGGTCAAGATGCTAGCCTATCGCGTTTCAGAATTCGACATCTAATCGAGAGGTTGGAGATAAACCAGCCACCAATTCTACACTGTGTTTTTTTTCCCTCCCCAACAATAATGATCGAGCTTCCCCGAAGAAGACCTGGGCTCCTACTGATCCCCCACTGCATGATGTCAATCTGTGGTCCATTAAGAAATATTGTCCTGCTTTCAATATTTCAAGGGGTTTACACAATTTTAAGGCACATTCCAATAATTGAACATTTGAGGATTTTAAAAAGGTGTTTATTTTTTTAATTATTTTATTTTGATTTTAACTATTATTGTTGTTGGTTCATTTTATAGCATATTTTAAAGAAATATAAACAAGTTATAAAATATAGACAGGTATCCCTATTACTGTGCTCCAGTGGTGCCTAAACGGGTCATGTGGACGAGCAGTGTATTAAAATATAAACAAGTGTCAATAAATATAGACAGTATCCCTAATTTATAGTTAATGGGTCCACTGAGTGTATTCAAATATATTTATATATTTATATAATTTTAAAAACTATTAATAGACAGATATCACTATTCTAAAACACTGCTCTATCGGTGCTAAAATGGTTCCCGCTGGAGCACAGTGTATAATACGATATAACTATGGTGGTAATGCGAAAATTGGCGTTCCATACTATTATTGAATATATATACCTCATTATTGATGACATATCATTCATCCAAGAAAAGTAAGTAATAGACATCGTTGCAAGGAGCGTTGTAGATTTGATTTGTCGTGTTATTTACCCTTTTTGTCGCTCATATTATTATTATTATTATTATTATTATTATTATTATTATTTTTATTATTATTATTATTATTATTATTATTATTATTATTATTATTATTATTATTATTATATATTTTGCTAAAAAAAGTTTTCACATACTACCGGTATATAGGCCTAGTCCTTGTCAACAAGTTCATTCCCAAGTGTAATATGGTTCATGTGAAAAACATTCTAGGTGATATCTGGCAAACCCATTGGGGAGAGATCGAATAATAGATTAATGCTTAACGGTTGTATCGTTCTCTGACAGCAGCCACATCCAAGTTAGCCCTACCATGTTTGGGAATGAAGTAAATATATTGTTTTGTGTTAATTTTAGATGGCTAAAACACTCTTAATGCCAACTGGCTTAAAAAAAGAAAAAATATTGTAGGCCTAATTAATTTTCCCCGACAGTTTGGGGCTCGGTTAAATATTATTATTAGGCCGAAATTTGGCACGCTTATAAGGCAAGGACCGCCTAAAATAGCATCTTTTTAATATTTAATTTATCTTTTTTATTTATTCATTTTTGTGTGTACTAACACTTTGAGAGATTATTATAGGGTGCTATATTAAAACCTATATTATTATTATTATTATTATTATTATTATTATTATTATTATTATTATTATTATTATTATTATTATTATTATTATTATTATTATTATTATTACTATCGGTAGTTCAGATGGTTCAGTGAACCGGGGCGCCCGGGACAATTTCTCTGGTGGGGTTCATGGGGAGAGATTTTTTTATAGTTTAGAATGGCCCAACATTGCACTTTTAGACCACAATATTAGGAAGTCTCATCACAATAGATTTGATTGGTTCAGAAAATTAATAGTTTTAGTTTGACGTCCTCATCGTGGCGCAGGGGTAGGGGAGAATGCACCTCTAGGCTTGTCCGACACGGGGAGGAGCTGATACCGATTTTTCACACACGTAGCTCACAAAATCAACAATTCTAGTGCGATGCAAAGCAACAATGATTATAATAAATAACTAATTTCAAACGATAGCATAAGTGGGCGGGCAGGCCTATGAATTGTAATAAATAAAACCACGATGAAAATGCTTATCAAACACACGTGTGTGGCCTAATAATAAAATAAGCCCTATGTCGTATTGTTTTCTCTATGGTGGGGGGGGGGTATCACTCCAAGTCATAAATTACTAACCGGATAATTATTACCTTTGCCCACCTTTGCCCCCTCCCCCCACCCAAGACCCCTGTTACGCACCTGCTTATAAGTGGGGCCCCTCCACTTTGAAAAACGTTCCGCCGGCCCTGTAAATGTGTTAGAGTATAATCATGTATTTCGATTGTTTTGTTAATTGATTAATTCCTTATTTATAATTTACTTGTTTTATTTAATTTACCTGTTCATATGTTGCTTCATACACAGAGAGAGCTGTCTTGCCATATTCCTCGCGACTTCCCAGGTAGCTTGTCATATTCCTCGCGACTTCCCAGATAGCCCTTTCATCCATCTTCTCATGGTATCTACAGTATTTCAAATACTGTACCCACAACCTCGGATTTAAATAAGATTTGCTGAATACAGTATACTACAGTATACTATAATATATTCATTTATTTACAAATAAATAAATAAGTGAATATATACTGTAAATATTAATGAATCCTGCACTATAGTCACCTGGTCGGTGACCCCCCTCTCTCTTTGTCTGAAGTAATACTTTTCAATTGTAAACTTAAATTTGTTAGTGTAAGCCTTTTCTATATGAACTTTTGTTAATTGTTTAATTCTCTGTTTTTTACTTTTGTTTGTTCTTTTTAATATGAACATTGTGGATGCAACACCTTTGTGTGTGATACCGATATAAAGGTGTAATTTCCAAATAAATACTTACTTATACACATAGCTATATAAATTGATTATAAGATTTAAAATTGTAAATCTTATTATTGCAATGACTACTATGTTCACATTTAAATTAATCTTATTTCTTAGTTGATATTATATATAATTAGGTTATATAATATTGTTTAAGTAAGAATTACTTCGTCTATGTTGAAATTAATCTTATCTTATTAGTTTTATATATTTAAATTTGATATGTTGCATAAATATGAAATCTTTTATAATACAAAAATTGTTGATGTGAATAATAACTTACTATAAACATTGTTTCATAATGTTTAAAAAAACATTTTGTTTATATTGCAATAAGATATAGAAATACGAAAGAAAGCAAAGTGATACGTAACTACTTAAAATTGTACCAAAAGTTATATAATAATGATTATAACCTAATATTATATTTTAAGTGTTTGTATCAAATTTTAGGCATAGCGTAATCTTCAAAGGTTAAGATGCTAGCCTATCGCGTTTCATAATTCGACATCGAATCGAGACCTTACTGGTTGGAGATAAACCAGCCACCAATTCTACACTTTTTTTTATTTTCCCTCCCCAACAATAATGATCGAGCTTCCCCGAAGAAGACCTGGGCTCCTACTGATCCCCCACTGCCTGATGTCAATCTGTGGTCAGTTAAGAAATATTGTCCTGCTTTCAATATTTCAAGGGGTTTACACAATTTTATTAAAGCATAGCTTTAATGCACATTCCAATAATTGAACATTTGAGGATTTTAAAAAGGAGTTTATTTTTTTTAATCATTTTATTTTGATTTTAACTGTTATTGTTGTTGGTTCATTTTATAGCATATTTTAAAGAAATATAAACAAGTTATAAAATATAGACAGGTATCCCTATTACTGTGCTCCAGTGGTGCCGAAACGGGTCAAGTGGACGAGCAGTGTATTAAAATATAAACAAGTGTCAATAAATATAGACAGTATCCCTAATTTGTAGTTAATGGGTTCACTGAGTGTATTCAAATATATAAAAATTTTAAAAACTATTAATAGACAGATATCACTATTCTAAAACACTGCTCTATCGGTGCTAAAATGGTTCCCGCTGAAGCACAGTGTATAATACGATATAACTATGGTGGTAATGCGAAAATTGGCGTTCCATACTATTATTGAATATATATAATACCTCATTATTGACGACATATCATTCATCCAAGAAAAGTAAGTAGTAGACATCGTTGCAACGAGCGTTGTAGATTTGATTTATCGTGTTATTTACCCTTTTTGTCATGTTATTATTATTATTACTGTATTATTATTATTATTATTATTATTATTATTATAATTATTATTATTATTATTATTATTATTATTATTATCATCATCATCATTATATATTTTGCTAAAAAAAGCTTTCACATACTACCGGTATATAGGCCTAGTCCTTGTCAACAAGTTCATTTCCAAGTGTAATATGGTTCATGTGAAAAACATCCTAGGTGATATCTGGCAAGCCCATTGGGGAGAGATCGAATAATAGTGCTTAACGGTTGTGTATCGTTCTCTGACAGCAGCCACATCCAAATTAGCCCTACCATGTTTGGGAATGAGTAAAATATATTGTTTTATGTTACTTTTAGATGGCTAAAACACTCTTAATGCCAACTGGCTTAAAAAAGAAAAAATATTGTAGGCCTAATTAATTTTCCCCGACAGTTTGGGGCTGGGTTAAATGTTATTATTAGGCCGAAATTTGGCACTCTTATAAGGCAAGGACCGCCTAAAATAGCATCTTTTTAATACTTAATTTATCTTTTTTTATTTATTCATTTTTGTGTGTACTAACACTTTGAGAGATTATTATAGGGTGCTATATTAAAACCTGTATTATTATTATTATTATTATTATTATTATTATTATTATTATTATTACTACTACTACTACTATCGGTAGTTCAGCCTATATTTTATTCTTTTTGTCGTATTCAGTCTTTAGCCTCTCCCCCTAAAATATTACCAGCAACCATCTTTTTTTTCTATGACTGAAATAAAGGCCTAGTAAGGTGGCCTAATTATTAGTTTATCAACCAATCATGAGGGGAACCATACTCCCCTGGTATTGTTGATTTAAACCATCTGAAATTTTGCTACCCCTCCACGCCCTCTAACGAAAAATCCTGGATCCGTCCATGGAATGATCAATATTCGGAATTGATTATATAGACATATGGTAGTGATCTTCAGAATTGTTTAGTTTAAATTCAGGTTTTAAAGAAAATAATATTAATTAAAACAAACGACCTCATTTGTTTAGATAAGTGAAAATCCCATCCTACTGAATTTAAATCATTTTTATTTTTTTTAAATTTAATTTAGTTTATCTTATTTCTTGTTTACCTTGGGTTAACGGCTCAATTGAGATCAATTTTATAATTAATACAATCATAACTAAGCACTTTTAAAATAAATTTTGAGATACAACTTGCATATACTTTTATAAATAATATAATTATCACAATAATTTTACTAGTTCAAATTCACGCCTCCAAGTTACTTGTTTTTATTCTTTTTATTACATACACACCCCACACGCACACACACACACAATTGCACTTATTATTTTTATTGGTTTTCTGGCTCTTTAGCTTTTGTACATTTTAGCTGTTGCTTATGAATTTATATCTCAAGCCAGATCGAACTATTATTTCACAAAACATTGTTGTTTTCATGTTGCATGTACGGTACAACATTTAAGTATTGTTCAATAAGTTTTTAAAATAAAATAAAATATGCCTGTATTATGTTTGACGGTATCTTATGTCACGATTTGCTATGAGTGATCCGTTTTGGTGGACCCCGAAATACGTATATGGGAAAGACAATACTGTACAGTTAAATTTATGATGTTTTAAATGAAATTGGCCTTCAATATTTTAAATATGGTGTTTTTTTTATTGCATTTAAAAAAAAACAACATTTTTTTATACAGTTTTATTTTTCTATTTATATTTTATATGTATGCTATGAAACTTACTCAACGTATTTTCCGCAAGGACCTAATAAATTTAATTTAATTGAATTAATGGGTACGTTTGAGTGTAGTTTATTTATAGAGTACGTTAAAGATGGTTAAAGTATGTAAGAAGAAATGTTCATTGTAATTTCCAAGCGGCCAAAATGTTTGAATTGAATTGCTGAGTAGTATAAAACATAGACAAATACTTAGTACATATAGTTAAAGACTCCAACAAATATAGCTCAAATGCTTTTATTCTAAATATGCAAGGAATACACTGTATAACTAGTATGTGCAGGTGGGTGGATTTTACAAATGCATTTATATTTTTCTCCAATAAGAACGTATAAGCTTATTTCATATTAGTTTTAATTATTGTTCATAAAATGTGGTTTTGCATTGCAGGAGGAGTCTGTGGTTGCTTAATATTCTTCGCCTTCTTCCTCTTCATCTTCTCCATCAAGAGAATCAACGCCGACCTCTTCGTAGTCCTTTTCCAGGGCTGCTAAATCTTCTCGAGCCTCTGAGAACTCTCCTTCTTCCATACCTTCACCCACGTACCAATGTACGAAAGCACGCTTAGCGTACATCAAATCGAATTTGTGATCAAGACGAGCCCATGCCTCGGCGATGGCTGTGGTGTTGCTCAACATACACACGGCACGCTGTACCTTGGCTAAATCACCTCCTGGTACCACGGTTGGAGGTTGGTAGTTGATTCCGATTTTGAAACCAGTTGGACACCAGTCGACAAACTGGATTGTTCTCTTGGTTTTGATGGTAGCAATAGATGCGTTGACATCCTTTGGCACAACGTCACCACGATACAACAGGCAGCAAGACATGTATTTACCATGACGTGGATCACACTTCACCATCTGGTTGGCTGGCTCAAAGCAAGAGTTAGTGATTTCTGAAACAGTAAGCTGCTCATGATAAGCCTTCTCGGCTGAGATTACGGGAGCATATGTGGCGAGAGGAAAGTGGATACGTGGGTAGGGTACCAAATTGGTCTGGAACTCAGTCAAATCTACGTTCAATGCACCATCGAATCGAAGAGACGCGGTGATGGAAGACACAATTTGGCCAATTAGACGATTCAGGTTGGTGTATGTTGGTCTTTCGATGTCAAGGTTTCTTCGACAGATGTCGTAGATAGCTTCGTTGTCGACCATAAAAGCACAGTCTGAGTGCTCGAGTGTTGTGTGAGTGGTTAGAATAGAATTGTATGGCTCGACAACAGCGGTGGCAACTTGTGGTGCTGGGTAGATGGCGAACTCCAGCTTGGATTTCTTTCCATAATCCACTGACAGTCGCTCCATTAAAAGTGATGTGAAACCAGATCCAGTACCACCACCAAAGCTGTGGAAGATCAGGAAGCCCTGGAGGCCAGTGCAGAGGTCCGCCTAGTTAAAAAAAAAAACATAGGAAAGAAAACCAACTTGTATTATTCAAGATTTCGTTTTACGTATAACGAATTGATATTGCCTATTGGCGATTCTGTAAAAAGTAATTTTCAATATCCGATTACATTAGGATCAACATACCAATTTGCGGATTCTGTCCAATGCTAGATCTATGATTTCTTTTCCGACTGTGTAGTGTCCTCTGGCGTAGTTGTTGGCGGCATCTTCTTTGCCGGTGATCAGCTGCTCTGGATGGAAAAGCTGACGATAGGTACCAGTACGGACCTCGTCGATCACGGTTGGCTCAAGATCGACGAACACAGCACGAGGGACGTGCTTGCCAGCACCAGTCTCGCTGAAGAATGTGTTGAATGAATCGTCGCCACCCCCGATGGTCTTGTCACTTGGCATCTGTCCGTCAGGCTGAATACCGTGCTCCAAGCAGTACAACTCCCAACAGGCATTGCCCATCTGGACACCAGCTTGTCCGACATGAAGAGAGATGCATTCACGCTGGTTTAGAAAAAAAATACTTACTGCATGAAAATATTTAATCTTGAATAATTTAAAAAGCCATATGTTGATTTTGTGCATCCTAGCGGCAACTATATTCAGTAACGTATCGGGGTATTAACATGGGGAGGGGTATTAACATGGGAAGTGGTATAACATGGAGAGAGGAAAGGTAACACTGGAGCTGGGAGAAGCGATAAAAAAATGAAGAGCTGATAGGCCTATCTAATGGAATGATGTGATTTTTTTTACTTCAGTTTAGTGTAATATTTGTTACTCGGCTAAATTTCCATTTTGAGGCGCGTGGGTATTGAAGAGGGGTGCAGACTTTCTATATGTAGAATGATATATTATGCCTATATGCATATAAAACAGTTTATTACAGCATTAGCCTTGCGCAGCATTATTTGGGAAAAGTTTCATCGTGTTTCATAGATGAAACATGTCTGCACGAACCATGATGATATAGATTAGAATATTATAGGCCGCAGTGTTGGTTAGCAGATAATCATTATTTAAATTCATTTTATCTTTAATAAACTGCCATTCTTTTTGTTCATCTATTGATAATAGTGATTTCCCCGCGACGAAATTATCTTTTGTAAATACCGACACTATTTTGAATTGTGCTTGTACCGTATCAGTTGTTGTAACAATCCCCTATCACGAATTTATCAATTATAAGAATACTTAGCTTGGTAACAGTTTCAATTGTTTAATTTAAAGCAAACATATTTAAATACGAAGGTATGAACTGATATCACTGTGTAAATATATACTTGTTTAAACACCCGATTTTATTTGGGCATGGTCGCAAGACCTAAAATGTGTGTATTCATGTTGATGCGCTGTAGACGTAACCCTGATACTGAAATTATACATAAGCCTACGTATTTCCGTGAATTGTTTCACGCTGTTTCTATAGTGACGACGCTGTGTACACCCGAAAATTTAAGGATCTACTAACAAGATAACTTTTGAATACGGACCTTTGTTTACTACTACTAGGCTTTTTATTATTTATTATTATTATTATTATTATTATTATTATTATTATTATTATTATTATTATTATTATTATTAGACTACTATATATATAAAATAAAACACGTACAAGTGGTAATAGATTTTTGGATAAATCAAAACAAATCAAACGATACCTAGGTATATTTTCATTTTGTCTCTGTGGGAAAATAAGTGCTTCATTGATTTTTAATTACCCTCAAAGAGGAACTAACGCCATGTGCATAAGATATCCATTACCTCCATTATAGGCCTTTAATAATTAACTGAACGTGATGTTATCATCATATATGACGATTCCCCTCCTTGCGTTAGTACTTGAGATTTCACCATGATGATAATTTTTTGTGCCGACAACTTTTGTTTCATTTGCGCGTTGTTTCTAAATTTCCTAGAATGCTATATTATAGACGAATAGATTATTCATATTTAGGTCTAATGTAATGAAGACTCCTTCGGAAGAGACTGACTAGCCAGAGATGAGTAACCTTGTGAGGATAATAGCGTGTCATACTCATACGCACTGCACCATCATAAGTTTGCCTGTGACGCTTTTTTTTTCTCCTAGCAGGTTTCAGGGGGTAGTTCTCACCGACGGGGATGAGATGGGGTGTTTGTCATTCTTATTGGCCTAACAAACTTTCCAAGTTGCTTAACTAACTTGGATGAATAAATTAATGTAATGCATATTCTCCGACTTAAAAATATCTCCTTTTTTGTGACATCACCATGTGTATCTAAGTAGTAGGCGAACAACAACGTTACCCGTCACACCTACTCAAATACGCCACAAAATTTTACAATGGCAATCCAAGTTTGGTGTCTTGATGCTTAAAGTTTTAGTAGAAGTTACAAACAGGCAGAAGCATATCTTTGTATCATTTCTGTAACTTGTGGATACTCGACCCCGAATTAAATAGTATTAACATGACTTTCAAAAGTATCAACAGTTATCAAATCGGGAAAGCATACCTAATTTAAGATAGTAAACAAACTATATGTTACAACTTACCATGATTTATTTTTTTCAGGATTCTGTTCTAGGAGATAAAAAGAAAACACAAGACAATAAATAAACTTGAATTCAGTCGACTCGGTTTCCTCAACTTAATGATTGCGGAAAGCTTGTTGCACGAATGAGCAGTCGTCAGTCGAAATTGTTTGATATATGTATTGGTGAAACAACCTGATTGGTCGAAACGATCAGTGAAAATTACACAGAAAGTCAATAGAAAATTATGATGTCATTCGGTTACGAATAGTACCGCTCCTAACCACCATGATTTAAATCCAAATGTATACGTATTAAAAGATTATATTGAAAATATTTATTCTTTTTTATTATATTTTGAAGTTTTTTAAAATTAACAGCCAATGGAGGAGAAGTAAAGAAGCATATACCAAACCTCAAACTAGTATGGGACTCTACAAAAAGTAGAAGACCAAACACCACACTGAGAATCTAAATAATGGAGTATATAAGTATGTATATGTATGTATATATACAATGTGTGTTTAAGTCATGTGGAAAAAACATTTCCACATATTGTGCTATGGATGATCATTCGCTATTTGAGTAAAAAAATGTTAAAAAATATATAGCGATAGAAACAAATGTGGTAGCGATAGAAACAAATGTGTTTATTAGTGTGTGACTAACGTTTTAATCATGTGATTCGAATATTGAAACTTGAAGTTTGATCTCTGAGCCGTTTGTAGCAGTTTGAAATCAATGAATCCAAACAATGAAGGAACTGATATTTTGCAATGTAATTAGTTACCACCTATTGATAACCTTCATTATCAAATCGGGGATTTTATTGTACATTTATCTGTGATTTATCAAGCTATTATATCAGTAGTGTAGAACTTTTCACTTATCTTGTGACATTTCACCCCAGTGACCCTACTTAAGTCACGCAGACAGGTAATATCATAGCAACACATGTATGCACAGTTTGAGTAGGCCTATTATGTTATTGTATGAGGTGTCTAATCCGCTCTGTTAGTTGCCTGGTTACTGATATGCAAGTATACTCAGGCCCGTAGCCAGGATCTTCCAAGGGGAGGGGGGTTCTGGGCGTGAGGTCCACAGTCGAAGCCCCGGGTGAGGTCGGCGAAACCCCCAAAGCAAGAGGATTTTTGTGCTTTATGGGTCTAAATAATGCTATAAAAGCAGATATGTTTGAAAATGTCTGTGTCTGGGTGGGTCTGCAGTGCATTAGTTGGGTTGGATGACTTATTTGGGAAATTTAAAGAGGGGGTTTCCTCAGAAAAGAGGGGGTTTGCTACAAAAGGGGGGTTCTCCCGAACCACAACAACCCCCACCCCCTGGATACTACATGTCATGATTACATTTGTAGTATTAAAAGATGATTGAGCATATTGAAATTGTAATTAAAAGTAAGATGTGTATAAGAGACAGCCTGTTGTATCTTCCATAAGTATCCACCTTATTCTATATATGTATGCGGTATACGGAGTTCATGCCCATGGATCATGGAGATTATTTTTAAATTTCATGCATTTGTTTTAAACTATCACAGGATCTAACACTTGGACGCAATGAAATACCATGCGAACTACCATTATTTAAATATTCTTTAAATAGTATTTTAACACAGGGTTTGTACTTTTGATGCCACAGAACACAAACCCACCGAAAAAAATATGAGAAATAGGCCAAACCTTGTTCAACATCATTTTCATAGCAATCAATGTTGTCAATTATGGCAGAATTACGCCAAATGAATAAGTGAGATAATAAAAACAGTTTTAAGTGGCATATACAATCACATAGCCGCCGGAAGAATTTTGCTAGTGGTCCGATCATTATAGGGAGAGCGAGGGATGGAGGGTGGGGGCGCTTAACCATTTTTTGAAAATATGGCACCCTATAAAGAGGCGTATCTAGCTTACGTGAATAAGACAATTTGTATTCGTCTATTGCGAAAATGATAAATTGATAAAAATTTAATTTCTAGTCAGTGCTAAAAATAAATGAATTGAGTTTCTTATTTATGAATAAATAAATTCCAAGGAACACGAATACATAAAATAATGAATAACATTGACTGTTTATATTTACACACGTGCAGGGTATGAAATATTAACAATATGCATTTAAATTTTATTAATACACAGGATGCAATATTCGATGCATTATATTTGGAATTAGTCTTACAAATTAATGAATACCGTAGAGCTTCAATAAACTTAGTGATGGTACAATTTTAATTTGCCAAATTCAGAGTGAAGCAATGAATTATTTGTAACAATCTAGATGAGTTGTGCTTTGTACAATCATTTGAATTATTAAACGTTAAACGCTAGGCCTTATACCGATTAAACTTTAATGTTAGTCAATTTTTATGGCAGACAGTCTATGTACTGAAGGTAAACCTCAATGAACAGATCTACCAGGTGATAAAGACATAGGCCTACCTATAGAGAACTAAGATTCAAGGACGATCCAGGTTTTTTGTGAAAGATGATGAGGGGATGATTATGATGAGAGGATGGTAACTGGGACGGAGATGATGGCGATGTCGGTGATAATGGTGATGTTGACGATGATGATGATACGGATGACGATGATGGTGGTGTCGAGGACGATAACGACGATTATGATGTAGATAGCAATGATGTTGAAATAGGTGGTGGCATGGTTTAAGTTTTGGAGACACTAATGCAGACTGAAGTGAGTCTAACCTGGAATAAAGGGGAAAGGGCCCCGACCAGGGTGCAGGAACAAAAGCAATCAGTATTGTATTTAGTATTTTCTGGTAGTTTTGTATTTAGTCTTTAATAGTAATACTTCCCAAGAGCAAAACGATCCTCAAATTGAGGTCTAGGGACTGGATAGCCCTGGAAAAAAAATTGATGATTCTAGTTGTAGTGTATAATTAATGGCATATTTAATCTACTGTAGTTATCGTTGCGTTGCATCGCACTGGAATTGATGATTTTGTTGGATCCCCACCTCCTTAGAAATATATACATATATATATATATA